CCCGCTCCCTCCTGGCCGTCTCCAGGGCCTCCTCAGCCGGCGGCGGCCCTGGTGCCTCCCGGCACGTCCCGCTGCTCCCCGGTGTCCCCGGCGGCCTCCCGGTGTGCCCCGTGGTCCGCGGTGCCTCCTACCATATCTCGCTGTCCCCTCCCAGTATGCCCCAGTGCCCCTCAGTACCTCCCCGTGTTCCCAGTGGGCCACACTATGCCTCCAGTACCTCCCGCTGCACCTCAGCGCCGCCTGCTGTGTCTTGCTGCTCCCCCCCCAGTAACATCCCACTAAGTTCCCAGTCCATGCCAGTATGCCTTACTGCCTCCCAGTATGTCCCACAGCCTTGAGCCCACCCCAGTGTGTCCAGGTGGGTCGTACTGCCTGCTCTCCCAGTCCACCTTAGCACCTCCTGATGTGCCCTGTTCCCCCTCCAGTCACTCCCAGTCTATCCTAGTGCCTCTCGGCCCACCCCAGTGCCTCCCAGTATGTTCTACTATCTCCCTAGTGTCTCCTAGTACATCCTATTGCCAGTACATTGTCCTAGTCCAGCATTTTCCCTAGAGCTCAGTCCACCCGCTCCGCCTAAATGCTTCCTACTGCCTCCTCCCAGTGTGTCCCACTACCTCTCGGTCCACCCCAGTGCCGCCCAGTATGTTCTACTGCCCTCTTCCACCGCCATCCAGCATGTCCAGGCATCCCCCAGTGGGGTCCTGCTCTACAGCTCCTGTGCTGCCCACAGCCCCGTTAAAGCCCTGAGTGAGGCCACGACTGCTGCTTCTGCGGTGCCCTCCCAGTGTGGCGAGGTGTGAAGGGCTGCGGCTCTTCCCCATCCTGACCAAACTTCATTCTCCCTCGCAGGCAGACGACTTCATCCGAGCGAATGCCTGCAATAAATTGACTGTCATCGCCGAGCAGATCCGGTACTTGCAGGAGCAGGCTCAGAAGGTGAGGACGTGTCCGCAAGGCGGCCAGAATGCTCGTTGCTTTGTGCTTGTGCCGGGAGGGAGGTTAGCTTCTGTCTTAACTGCCAGACATACGGGAAGACTGGTGGCCTGGATGTGAATCATGGCCAGGAGCCAAGTAGAGAAGATTCAGTGTGAAAATAAGGAGGGTTTATTGTCTGGTATCAGCTGGGGATGGGGGAGAGTTGGTTTTTGTGCTTTCCCTGAGTCCTCTGCATGTCAGGGAGGACTTCTGTTAAGGCAGAGGAGTGAGGACGGCTAATCAAAAGCAGCTCAGGTGTGAGGAAGGACAGAGAGATGACTCTGGTTTCAGGACAGATGACTCCTGTCACCATAGCTGTGCTCCTCGGCGCAGTGGGGTGATGGCGCGGCCCTGGCTGGATCTGAGCCCCTGGGAGAAGATGAGCTGTTACCCAACAACAGGCTTGGCTTTCCAGCTTGTCCCAGCTCATTTGCTGGAGAAGGTGGCTCTGGCAGCAAGGCCAGCAAAGCTGGGCTGTCCTCTTCAATTCAGACTTCACCCTTGGGGGTGAAATCCCAGAGCCTGAGTGGGAAAGGATCTGCCAGTCACTGCGACTGGCCCGCTGCCCTCAAGGCCACTACGTCACATAATCATTAACTGGTGGAGCCGGATCTGTGGAGCAGTCAGCTGGTGGAGCTGGGGAGATGAATTCCCCTTTGTTTGCTGTCCTTCCCCTCGGGGACCACAGCAGGGAAGCCCCCAGGGTCCAGCAGCTGTGTGCAGAGACAAGGAACAAGTCCAGCACAGGGTGGGGTCAGGCACGGTGGTGAACCTGGGGCTGCGGTGAAGAGGTCCTTGATGCTTGGAGGTATCTCTTACCTCTGGAGGGCTGCAGGAGCTCTGAGGTCTGTCTGACAGGGGAAACTTGGAGAAAACTTCATCTCTTTGGAAAGCATCTCCCTCCTGGGGCAAGTAAAGACGTGCTATGTGAAGCCAGATGCATGCTGAGGAGGATGAGGCCTCGTGAGCAGTGTGTTGAGTGATGTATCTCGGGCTCTGGCTGAGAGGCAATAGCATGCTGTCATTTTATTTCAAGTGTGGAAATTTTAAATGTGGGGTTTTTTTAGGTCTTGGATGAAGCTAACAGAGATGCTGATCTGCACCATGTGGCCTGCAACCTCGTGAAGAAGCCAGGAAACATTTATTACATGTACAGGCGGGAGAGTGGCCAGCGATACTTCTCCATCCTGTCTCCCAAGGTGTGTGGTAACAGCCCGTGAGGAAGCAGGGAGGGGGAAAAAAATACCTTTCTGGTGCTCAGGCACTTCTGGACCTCAGAAAAAAAGCACCAACTTGATGGAGGCATTTGTTGGCGCCTGCTCAGTTGGTGTTTGTCCTTGGTCTGGGTTACTCTCTGGGTGTAAGAGCCATATTATGAAGTTTTCTCAGCTCTTGGTGGATGCTGGGCAAGACAACCTGTGGTGTGTGGACCTGAATTCTGCCTTTTGGTCCCTGCAGATCTTTCTCTGGAAGTAAAGAACTGCAAATGTGCCCAGGGCCTTCCCTGTCCGGTGTGGCTGGCTCCAGGGAGTGAGTTTGTCTGTAGCTCGGTAGGGATGGTCTTGGAGGTATCCTCCTTCCAGGCTACCTGTTTTCTTGCGTGCAGGGTGAAGGCTTCAGAGCAAAGCACCGAGCACAGAGAATAGCTCTGTGCAGGTCAGGGGGATTTTGTATCCCCAAGCCTCCCTGTGCCAGCAGCACTGTAGCTTGACCTGGTCTTAGGCTCAGGAGTAGTTGAGCCTATTTTTAGATTAGAAAATAGGATGGTCACCTAGCTGGGACTGCTTCAAAGGTGGTAGGGCTATCCGAGGGAAACTGAGCAGCGATGTGAATCTCTCCTTTCTCTTCCAGGAATGGGGGACTAGTCCCCACGAATTTCTTGGTGCCTATAAGCTCCAGCATGACATGTCCTGGACTCCATTTGAGGACATTGAGAGACGAGATGCTGAAATAAACATCCTGGATAAGCTGCTGAGCCGGCAGGCAGCGCTGCCCCCGTGCACAGAGCCCAACTTCCAGGGCCTCACCAAGTGACACAAGTGACCATACAGGACCTCCTGCGTGGGGACATGTGGTGCTTGCGTGCTTGTCAAAGGCAGAACAAGGAAGGAGACCAAGAAACAAAAATGCTGATGCCGCCAGTACTTGCTCTGTGCTTTGACGAGACTAATTTGGCATTCAGTCTTACTGGATTTTCTAGTAATTGAGTAATTTATTTCTTTGACTTATGCCAAGCTGTAGCAAGAGGCAGATAATATCAGGTGGAGTCAATTCCAAAAGGGCTGGGGGCAAAAAGCAAAAATGCTTGGGGCAGATGTGATAATGCTATAAAATATGTGCTACCTGTCCGGCTCTGGTGTACCTCACTGTGACTGCCTGCGGCAGGTAATGATTTCAGGGCTGGATTTTGCCCCATGTTAAAATGCCTGTATTTAGGAAGCTCTGTGGCCTGGGAAGAGTGGTTGAAACCCCGCACGGAAAGGTCTGTTGTGACCTGAGTCTGTTGGTCTCTGTCCCAGCTGGTCTGAACCCCTGAGTCTGTCAGACAGGGTTGACCTGGAGCTCTCCTCTCTGGGAAGAGCATCCTCAAAAGTGCCGTGCAGGCTCTAGGCGGGTGTTTCACAGTCCTCGTGCGTTCCCCTTGGCTTTGAGTGGTTCAGCTGCCAGGGTGAGACAGGAATGGGCAGGGACACCAAATGCCTCTATGCCAGAGCAGTGGAGAAAACAAAACAGAATCAAAGAATGCTTTGGGTTGGAAGGGACCCCTAGAGGTCATCTAGCCCAAGCCCCCTGCAGTGATCAGGGACATCTTTAATCAGATCAGGTTGCTCACAGCCCCATCCAACCTGGCCTTGAATGTTTCCAGGGATGGGGCACTCATCACCTCTCTGGGCAACCTGTGCCAGTGTTTCGCCACCCTCATTGTAAAGAATTTCTTTCTTATATCCAGTCTAAACCTACCCTGGTTTAGTTTAAAACCATCACAGCTGGCCCTGCTAAAAAGATTGTCCCCACCTTTCCTATAGGCCCCCTTTAAGCACTGAACGGCTGCAATCAAGTCTCCCCACAGCCTTCTCATCTCCAGGCTGAACATCCCCAACTTTCTCAGCCTGGCCTCATAGGAGAGGTGCACCAGCCTTTGGATCATTTCTGTGTCCCTCCTCAGGACCTGCTCCAACAGTTCCATGTCCATGTTGATCTCAAATGTACCTCTGAGACAGGCCCTGTGTCCTGTCTGCATGGCAAGCATCCCTTCAACTTTACCAGGGAGACTCAGTGGCATGTGGGACTGGTAGGACATCTCCCAGCCTCTTTTTTCCACCAAGAACTGGGGAGAGGCAAAGATCAGAGCTGCTGAGATATCCTCCCTCTGCCCAGTCTCACAGGGCTCTTTCAGGAGCTCGCCTGCTCTGTGAGGAGCAAGTAAACTTGAGAAGCACCACCTCCCCCAAATTTGCAGTTGGGCTCTCCTCTCTTCTGAGGCAGTGATGGAAGAGTGGTGTCCCCTGTTCCCCGTGGCATGGCCTTGGGTGCAGCAGTCGTTCACCTTCCCGGGGGCTCGCTTGTTTCAGGTGGTCACTCAGCTCCAAGTGACCTCCCTGGGCATTGCCCCATCTCTCCTTAACCACTGCCAAGGAAGACACTGCTGCCTTCAGCGCTGCTGGGTGATGTCTGGCTCAGTTTGGGGCTGAGTCTCTGCGTCAGGCTTGGATTGCTTCATACATGTACAAAAGAATTGCTTTAACTCCTCTAAACTTCCTTGTTCCCTTTCTAACATTGATTTGTTCATCTTACACCGAGTCCCCAGAGCATCCTGCTCCTCCTGCAGCTGGGAAGGGGCTGGGTGCCCTGCTGGAGTCCTGTGGAGGCGGGTGCTGCAGCACCGTGTTTTCCCAGGTCGCCCTCGACTCGTACATCTCCATCTTGATGTCTGAACCTACTGCTTGGGGTTAGGTGCTGCAGAGACTCTGCTGAGGGAAAGAAGGACCTCTCTGCATCCCCAAGAGACCCCTGGGGACCAGCACCATCACTGGGTCTTGCCATCACTGCAGTTTATTCCCCCTTCAGCAGGGCACAGCCTCTTCTCCAGGCTCCTTCTCTTCTGGTCCCCACATCCTCAGCACACCCTGGGAGTTGCCCTGAGAGATGCTTGGGACTGCTGGCAGCACTGATTCCTCATGGGAAGAGCTGTTCACAGAATCCCAGACTGGCATGGGTTGGAAGGGCCTTCTGGGGATCACCCAGCCCAACCCCCCTGCTCACCAGAGCAGGCTGCACAGGACATCGTCCAGGCGGGGGTTGAATATCTCCAGAGGAGACTCCACAGCCCCCCTGGGCAGCCTGTGCCAGGGCTCGGTCACCCTCAAAGCCAAGAAGTTCTTCCTCATGTTCAACTGGAACCTCTTCTGCTTCAGTTTGTGCCCATTGCCCCTTGTCCTGGTGCTGGGCACCACTGAGAAGAGTTTGGCTCCATCCTCGTGACATCCACCCTTCAGATATTTGTAAGTGTTGATGAGATCCCCTCTCAGCCTTCTCTTCTCCAGGCTGAACAAGCCCAGCTCCCCCAGCCTTTCCCCGCAGGGGAGATGCTCCAGTCCCTGCTAGGACGAGAGGTTTGAGACAGGTCTCTGGCAGCTCACGAATTTTTTTTTTGTCCTGGATTTTCTTCTCCCAGCTCTGCCAGATGCAGTGGCTCATCTCCATCCCAGCGTGGCTGAGCCTCTGGTTGGCAGAAACCTGGTCCTCGGAGTCAATGCCTGATGTTTCAAGCACCTTTTCCCAGCTCACCCTCCCTCACTTGGGCAGGTTAAAAGCAAAGTATTATTATTATTATTATTATTAGAACAGATTATAATTAGTTCCTTATCGAGTCACAAGTGTCTAATATGACGGGTTTTTTCCCTGCTGTTTCATCGCCCCAGGTCTTATTTTACTGCATGTTATTAAATCTTAACTTTGGAAGGGAGAAAGTTAATTACTGCATGGGCTCTGCCATGGTGCTAATTACAGCAACATCAGAGATCTTCATGTGTGTGGATTTATGCTCCTCTGGGAAGAGGGGATTCCTGCCCCAGTTTTATCTCATTTCCCATCACTAAAATGTGTACAATGAGATGCGCGAGGGATTTGGGGTCATGTCCACAGACCTCCGTAGCTTGTGATTTCACATGCTGGCCTTTGGTGGGGTTTTATGCCTGCTTTCCTACATCTCCAGCAAACGCCCCTGACCCTCCATACCCCATACTCCACCTGGAGCACTGTGTCCAGTTCTGGGCTCCCTGGTTCAAGAAGGATGATGAACTCCTAGAGAAAGTCCAGAGGAGGGCTATAAAGATGATGGGGGGACTGGAGCATCTCCCCTACGGGGAAAGGCTGAGGGAGCTGGGCTTGTTTAGCCTGGAGAAGAGAAGGCTGAGAGGGGATCTCATCAACACTTACAAATATCTTAAGGTTGGGTGTCATGAGGATGGAGCCAGACTCTTCTCAGTGGTGCCCAGCAGCAGGACAAGGGGCAATGGGCACAAACTGAAGCAGAAGAGGTTCCAGTTGAACGTGAGGAAGAACTTCTTGACTTGGGATTTGACTGTGATTCTGTAACTCCCTGGTGTCCTGCAGTCCCTCTGGGTGCTGGCAAGTCTTTTCCTTAGATTTGCCCTAAAAGAGCAAACTGTGGGTGTAGCTTTGTATGGAAATGTACAGAAGGTATCGAGAGGCAAGACGTGGAGATGGTGGGCTCGTGCTCATGCTGGGTGCTCTCAGCACTGCGGGAAGCAGGGACGTGGCTGCCAAATGGTTCTGCTGCAGAGCAGGGAGGTGATGCCGGAAAGGGGGAACTGCTCCCCCAAAACACTGGCTGGTTCCCGTGAAACAGCTCACCTGGTGTTGCCGTCTTGGCTGGTTTTTGATCTAATTAAACCCAAAGCACTGAGGCAATGTCAGAAATACTGGAAGGTGCTGTTGCAGAGCCGAGCAACAAATCCTGCGGAAAACTGGCAAGGATGGAGCCTCCTGCAACGCTGACAGCGAGGAGGAATTTCTGGGGAACTGAGGAGATGGTGCTCGGTAGAGGCCTCTTTGAGTCCCTTCAGGTTCATGATCTCACCCACTTGCCTCTGCCTCTACCAAGCTGTTGCCTTTATGGGTTTTTGGCTTGACGGGGATTTAATCCAAAAAACAGCTGGGAAGGAGTCAGCGGGACATGGTGCCGGAGGGCAGGGGCTGTCCGCAGATGAGGAATGGGCCGCATCTCACTCCTAAGTGTTTTCCAAGCCCTTTGTTTAGATGAGCGTGTGCCCTCTGCTTTGCTTAGAGAACGACCAGGTAGGTAAGGACTGAAGAAGGCAGAAGCAAAGGCTGCAGGCTCACGGCTGCTGTTCCCACTGCAGTACATAATTCATTTCCCGAGTAAAAAGGTTAAAAATCAGCTGTCTCCTGCAAGACTTTGTTTCCATTCATGGTTTCATCTTGAAAATTCATTTTGAAAATATTCCTCTCTCTTGTGAGCACTCAGAGCAGCAGTGAACCTGATCTGAAGGCAATGGCTCACTCCGAAATCCCCAGGGATGGACAATATTTGCAGGAGAAGACAGAGGTGTGCTCCTGACACCATTAATGTTGGGCAGAGCAGTTTTTGCTCCACCTTTGGACATGCGGATAACCAGGGCCTGTTTAAAAGGGCTGTCAGAAAGATGCTCTTAACATCTGATCCTCTCCTGGATGCTCCCCAGAGCCGGTGTTTGCGGACTCTTAGGGCTGCCCTGAGCCTTCCTGTTGTCTTCTGGTCCTGGGAGATGGATTTATTAATGGCTCAATGTCACAAACGGTAACTGAGTGGGGGAAAACATCTCCTGGATGTGCTAAAATTGCAGGGGGCACCGAACCAGGGCCAGGCACTGCTGGCAAAATCAAAATAGATATAGGGCGCTTTTTTTTCAGCCTTTTCAGGTGTTTTTCAGCTGCCCACAACAGGGATTTTTAACCACAGGCTTTCTGCTGCTTCCACGTCACCCTCCTGAGCTGCGCTACAAGGTCTTCCCGGCTTTTAAAAATGGAATTAACTCTATAAACAAGTTCTCTGTTTCAGGCCAGAGTTTGGCTTCTGCGTTTCACATTGGCAGCGCCCGGAGATTTCCTTCCCGTGCCCTTGTCCCTGAAGGGTGGCTTTTATTTTATTTGGGGTTTTAGAGTGATTTGGTTATAACCCCTGATGAGTGCCCACTGCCCTGCAGGGTCGTCTCCCAGCCAGGAGAAGCCTCCCAGTACGAGGAGCTGTGGCTCCTTGGCCCCTTTTTGTTTCGGCTTCAGCTCCAGGCAGGGAAAAAAGAAAAAAAGGAAGAAAAATTGGAGGGAATTTGGAAACGCTGATGCAAGGGTGCACTGTAGGGGAGACTTTGTGCCCTCTGTGTGCTCCTGCAGCCCTTGGGTGCGTGCAGGGTGGTGCAGGTGCGGGGTCCCGCAGGTCCCGGGGTGCATGCACTGTCTTTGTAGGTGCGGGTTGGGGGGTCCCGCCGCCCCCAGCCCCATGCAGGCCGGTGCAGGTGCAGGGTGCGG